TGAGGATTCTCGACCCCGCACAACATGATCTACTCGACCACCATTATGGTAACCGCAAAAAAAAAAAACAGAAGTAAAAGAAAAAACCAGTATCCTGGTTGCCGAGTTGACGAAGTGAGAATTGGCTCATTTTACAATGTCGTTGCCAAGCGACGAAAACCCAACCCCGATGGCAAACANTGTTCTGGTGCTTTCACTTCCAGGGACAGTTCTAAGCACTGTGTAACTGCCTCGAGGGTGCTTGACCATTTTAACACAACGTGGTGCGATCATCCCCCTTGCGCGGAGCGAGGGTTCTCNGGGTGGCTTGTATTACAACGTCGTTGCCAAGCGACGAAAACCCAATCCCGATGGCAAACACCAGGGGGGGGAGGTGGCAGACGAACTACGACGAAGAAGAAGGTGCTCCATTCCTTGGCGATTTCGGACGCGAAGCGTTTTCCTCGCAATCACAGAAAAAGACCATAGGTCGAAACATTCGTAACACACCAACTTCGTGTCATAGATACAACAGCAGACTTCCTCTCTAACAGAACAGACAAGAGAGATCCGAAGTTTGGTTGTGCAGAAATACTGCTGTACACTACAGATGACAGCAACCAACGTGCTTTGCTGCTCAAGAGCGCGAGTACTCACTTGTCGCTCGGCATTACGGGCCCGCGCACCCTTCAGTGAGACCGCCAGTGGATACAGCCGCAACACCGTAGGCTCTCCTGGATTATGAGAACAAGCACAGACTGTTGGGTAACCAAAGCACAGGTGGTCCGCTGGAACTCATGTTGGAGCCATGGTCATGAAAGGCTTGGCTGGGGGGCTGTGCAAGCTTCAGGTGAAGCATGTTGCACGTGCGAGGTGGACAGCAGTAGTTCATTCCCTTGCAATGTTGGCATGTTGGCCTAGATTGGAGAAGTGTCCTAGTAGTCTATCCAAGGTTTTGGTAAATGAAAAGTGTGCCTTCCTTGTACAGCAGTACAGAGTACCTTGAGGTGACCGATTTTCATTGCTCGATTACTCCACAAAAGAGCGGCGGTGCCGGAAAATTGCGTTGTCGGAACCATTTCGTCGAAATCTTTCCAAAAACGCATCGATTGAGAGTACCCCTATTCATGATGCAGTCGTCACAGCAGTCGAGCTTTTAAAATCGGTCCAGGGGGTGTGTTATCTTGTGTCACCGCGGTAGTCATTCTGTAGGCGTACAGCAGTACATGATGTCATTTGTCTCTGGTACCATGCAGTACAGTAGAATTACAGTGTTACTACAGTAATCGCACCAGCCTTTCTTCACGCCTACCACGCCACACCTGTCATCGCTCGAGCTGCGATCGAGTGGACATTTGTCGGCCTGAACCCGAGCTGTCGGTGGATGACCTCTTCCTCTTCTCCCAAGTCAAAAGCCTTTTCGACGGTGATATTTCCTAGAGCCTGTTTCTTGTTGCGACTTTGGACCGGCCTTGATTCGGCCATGTATCTCTCTCGAAAGGTATTGCAAGTGGGCACACACCTACACGCGACTCCCAGTTATTGTGGAGTTAAGCACAAGGCAAGATGAGTACTGCTGTACTCACGGCAGCATCCCCCCGAGCACCTGATGACGTCATCTGCACCATATACCCCTCATTTCGGGGGTTCTGCCATTCGCGGAGCCTCTATCACTGCCCTCGGCAGAGTGGTGCTCTGTGCTGTGCTGCATTGCTGCGTGCTGAGCCGGAGAATGGGGCTGCTCTCGTACCTCATGACCATAGGCGCCATTGGCGTTGGCCTCTTCGCTTTGGTGAGTGCTGCACATGCTTTTTTCTGCATAAAGTACATACACGACGGCGAGTGAGAGCGTTGCAAAAGCGTTACGCGCACGCAAAAAAATCGTGACTGCACTCCCCGCTTGTCTTGTAGTCTCGGAGAGACAGCGCGCGTGATCACCTGCTTCTGAGCAACTACCGGCGCCGACAGCGTTGCTGCTTGGGGCTTCTCGGGTGGACCCATCGCCCGGAAGGCTTGCGCTGGTGGCGTATCGTGCGCTGTCGTCTAATCACCCCTTTTTCTCGGCACACGACGCCTGCGTACAGACGGCCCGCAACTGCTGCTGTACCCTGCTCGCGGGCGCGTATTGAATCCGGAGCAGCAGCAGCGGGTCAGAACCAGAAATACATACATGCAATGAGCGAACAGATGGTACGCACATAAGGCAGCTCAACAGCGGCCGTCCCACACCAAGGTTAAGGTCGTCCGGGGATCTCCGGGACACAGCGCTGCTGTGAACCTCTCACGGTGGTGCACTGGGGTACTCGCCCCTACTCTTTTTTGTGCGCTTTGCCCGGAACATGGTGTGGAAAGGCAGACATACACCCGGAAGGAGTTATCCCGCACACATCCTGGAACGTCAATCATCCGCTTGCACGCAAGACACAACCGACGTTTTCTGTCTTATGCAGCGAGCCCCGTTGGCGCAACCTCCACCCGCATTAACAGGAACCACTGCCGTGGACTTGTGTCCCTCAGGACCACCGCGGTGCCCCGCCCGGGACATTGTTGCTCGTGATCACGCGCGCTTTGAAAAATCGAGCATGTGTAGATTAGCGAGTGCCACCAAATGAGTGACGTGCTACAGAAAACAGCAGCAAAAAATGGCTGAAATAGCAGCAGCGCAGGCGCGCTTGTTTACGGCCACCGCTGCTATCTCCCGTTGTTTTTGTTCGATCTCCAACTGGGTAGCTCGTCCGGCCTCGTTTGCTACAGGTGTGCTTGACGGCACGATATTAAGTCGTATAGATTCGACAAGACACAACAGCAGCAGTGCAATGTATCGAAAGCAGTCCCTTTGCCCGGCAACCACGAAATAGCAGCACGCGCGGCAGATGAGCTGTAACAGCATTGCCTATTACAGCCCTTCGGTGCCGGTACTGGCCAGCAATGGCATATGAAAGTTATGTTGCGGGGCATCCGCACCATAGGAAGTAGGACGTGAGTAATTGGTGCGAATAGTTGAATGGTTTCGAGATAGTGCGTGTCCCCCCCCTGCTGAGGTATATCCTGGGTACTCAGTAAACAAGACTCGTTTTTTAACATGTCGGGCTTTTTTACGGGAGGGGTCGATGACAAATATTAGGTTGTTCTGGGGCGGGAAGTCTCTCCAGTACATCGTGTCAACGCCAGTTGCCCACATGACCCTGTGCAGATCAACAATTTCAGTACACAAGACCGCGATAATGTATCTGCGTCCACCTATAAGCACCTAACCTTTAGCACCCAACACTCCGTATCGACATCCAGAAGGGAGTCCTGGCGCTGTATCGGGGGAAGACGCGACTAGATGTAGTGGTTCGACGTTTGTTGCATTTTTTTTTTTCCCCCATCATTGGACTCTGTTGTCTGCCCCTCTGGCCCCTATCCTCCACTTCTACTAGCTAGACGACCCAACCGGGGTCACATAGGAGGGGGGGGTTGGACCCCCTCCTGCGGTTCCTGCCTGAGGCATTGTTATCGCGAGGAGGGTACAGCAATCCCTTCCCTCGCGACTTATGAAGTCGATTATGGTTTACTACCAACGAGCTTTGCAACGCGTCGCTTTCATCCTGGACCAGGACTTATTTAGTGAGAAAAAAACTCACTCTGCCGGGACTCGAACCCATGAGCTGGCCCTTTCATTGTAGGCACATGTCTCCTTCACCTCTCTGCATCTCATCGCAGATGCTGTACAACGTAAGAACGTGCCGGAGACATCGAGTTCTCACACTAGACGCGAGACGCTTGATTTGCAGCAGTGCCGTGCACCACAAGCTGCAACCCACTGCTTGCTCTCCTCGCCCTCCTACTTGGGTACAGACGCAAGCATGCCTTACCGAAACGCATCAGTGCCGCCACGAGAGACAATACACGCGACTGAAACCACCACCGACCATTTGCCTCTTCGCAACGCCCGTACGTGACTTCAGCGACGCACTCGTTGGCACTATTGAGTGTTCCCGTCTTTTTCATCGGAGGAGCCCCCCCCCCCTACCATCAGTTTGGCGAAACGTCTTCCCTGGCGTAGGCACGTGCGGGTTGATCATGGGTTACTCCCCGCTATAAACCTTGCCGGGGCGACGTGGTTTTCGCAGGCAACACGTTGGTCTCTCTCCGCCCGGGGCGGACGCAGGATATCTCTCCGCCCCTGAGGGCGTATTCCACTGGGGTGCACCTCCTGTCCACTGCCGTCTCGCAACCTTGAGCCATTCTTCCCGCTCTTGTCTCCACGCTCGAAGCGCTATCGTCATACCATGGGGGGACATTACTGGCTCTCTATGTGCATCCGTCCTTCTGTTTCTTCCGTTCTCTTATCCTCGTCTTGCCTGCCTGTCTTCTCTCTGTATATATATATATGTATCTTTCTCCCTCTCTCTCTATCTCTGTCTCTCTCTCTGTATCTCCCCGTGTAACTCTCGGCCTCTCTTGGTCCCTTGCTAATCGCCCTTTCCCCCCCCCGCCGTTTCGAACACTTGCTCCTCGCGACCGAACCAACAGGCAAAGCACAACCACGAGAGAGCGGGGGCCCCGCGCCAAGAACAGTTCATCCCCTTCAAGAAGTACGGGGACGACCGAAAGCAGCCCCTTGTCATCGTCCCGGGTTTGGATGGGGTGACGGCGTTTTTCTCTGACATTGTGCCGGAGTTAGCATTGAACGTGAGGGGACGGCGGCGTGTGCCCGGCGTGGTCGCGGAATTCACGAGTGCAGGGGGCAGGGAGTTTGTTCATGGTTGAAAAACTCGGTTTACGTGGGGGCTGACCGCTGACCTCATGTAAACGCATGCCATTGAGTCGTTGGTTTTTAGACCGTTGACCTGGCATCCGTACAACGCCGGGACGGGTCAATATGACGTTTTTTTCGCCGGCCTCGGGTGGAAGAGAGAGGCGGCGGGATGGATGGCAGGAAAGGCACAAGATGTGCTTGGACGGGAGTTTCGATATATATCTAGTTGCGATTGCAGCGTGTGCTTGGACAGGAGTTGTGAGGGAACCTTTGGGTCTGGTTTCCCGCCGCCCGAGTTGTTCGACTGCCTCGAGGGTCTGCTAGAGAGTAATGGGATTGAAACGCCGGCCAACGTGTACTCCATTGTGGTGGCGGTTTGTTCCGTGTTTGATCTTCGCATCGAGCGATAGCGGCGGTTAATAACGTTGATCCCATTACAACGGCATGGGCCCATAGCAGATGTTGCTAACTTTTCGGTTCATGCGCGTATACGCATGTATCAATGTCTTGCAAGGATTTTGAATGGAATATTAAATGAATTATATAGGGCAGAAATAGGCAGCAGCGGCGGCAGCAGAGACAGACAGACAAGACAGACAGGGAAGAAGACAGAGAGTACATTGCCGAGTATACGCACATGATGGCAGCTCGTGTACAGGAAGGAAGGCAGGCGGGCAAAACATTTGCAGTACCGAAGCCTGCGTTCCCGTCCCCTGCTTGTGAATGGAGCCGTCGGTCGCCCACCCGAGACGGTTCTTCCCCTTCGCAGTCGGTGTTGGTATCGTATCTAGTGACTTGTCATAAGGCTCATGACGAGGCTGTTAGTGTCGACCAAAAAGGCCGGAGCCGATGGTGCATCACAGCGGTGTGTGTCGTTGCTCTTCTGCTGGGGAGGGATACCGCAGGGTAGGCGTTCACTACCCTGCCAAACGAGGGTTGCATACAACAAGATGAAAGAGGAGAGGATAGTATACTGGTGCCGTAGGCAATAGCGGGATGTTTCTCTCTGTTGAGCCCTGTTCAAAGTCGATATCACCAGCCTCATGCACCCACCCCCCCCTCGTTGTCGTCTGGTACCCATGAAGTTCCACGTAGTCATGTTCAATCTGCCGCTGGCGTCGCCGCCTCTGAGTCGAGCAGCAGCGGAGGGAGAGAGGTACGACATGTCCTACATCGCCAGGCGATTGGCTGAGGTCATGGAAGATGTGAGTGGCGAACAGTTTGTTGGAAATGTTCTTTCTTCCTGCGTTGCTGTCTGGCACACCCGTGATTCGAAAGCCAAGATGGGAAAGGTTGATGTAGCCGCGTTTGTTGTTCCCTTCTCTTTGGTGTGTGTGTGGTTTTGAGATACCCGTCATGCTGCGCGAAGCTCTCAATAAAACTTCCAACACAACACGAGTTTGAAAGGTCTTACCAAGTTCTCTCTAGATTTGTGTCGTGTTCTCCACTTCGACTCTCTGGTTGTTTTTCGGCTGGGGAGGACGTAGGTCACCAATTTGGTTTCGAGGGGAGGGGGGAAAGGATGGAGCATTGTTCCCACAGAGGACCTATCGCCAATGGCCAATCGTCCCTTCCTGCTCTGCCGAAGGCAGGCTCAAGAATGCTGTCCCTGTCCTGTCTATTTTATCACCCCCTCGCCTGCTTCGGCCAGTTCATATCCCCCAGTGTAGCTGGCGAGGGAGGGGGGTTGCCGGGCATCTCACGTCGTCTACCATCGTGTATCAGATAGGAGAAGGACTTGCTTTTCATTTTCGCGGCCAATCGACGGTTGCTCGGCAAACCCCAGAGTGACTTACCCTACCACCATTTTTGTGTTTTTTTTTCGTGGGGGGGATCGCAGGCGGGAATCAAGGGCGGGGCGAGCATCGTGGGGGAGAGTTTTGGTGGGATGGTGGCCCAGCGATTAGCTCTCGATTTCCCGGACAAGGTGGAGAGGTGAGTTTCGGGACAATCCACTCGCGTTAGAGGTGCAGCAGCCGAGGTCCCTTTGTTAAGGCCGCTATGGACCTCAGGGCGAGGAACCCTTGTGCGTGACCACGGGTTGAAGCAAACGACGCAAGTGCCGTGAACACTGATTCGAAGTGAAGGCGAATAAAAGAAAAAAAGGCCCAAGAGAAAGCACCGACTTTACATCGCGGCACTGTTCATAGCATGAAGCAAAGAAAGTTGGATCTGTGCCAAGTGATTTCACAGGCCTTATAAACAGGGCAATCGACCTTAAACAAGCGGCCTCAAACAGGGACCTCTATTGTAGTAGGTTTGCGGCTTCGGTAGCTGTTGGTTGTAGGTTCAAGATCGGTTTAGGGTTCGGGAGCACGTGGGTCAAGGTTTTCTTTTGGTCTATGATCGTGACGATGACGCCTGTAGGGCTTTTTTCTTCCGTCATTGGTCATTGTGGCTCTCTTGTAGAACGCCATGGGTTTCCATGTCATGGTGAAAACTGGTCCATCTCTTCCGTGCGTTTCAAGTGAGCCGGTTCCCACATTCACTCAAACCCGGCCGGTTTCTGTATGTGGTTGAGCACTGCTTGTCGATGTCCGAACCAAGCTACTCTTTTTCTCTTTCGTGGGCATCAATATTCCGTGAAGCTCACATTCGGCTTCTCGCACCGTTTTTGTTTTTTTCTGTCGTACGATTGAAAGTAGAACTTAACGGATGTCATCCGTCTCGAAAACCCTGTGTATTCCGACGAAACAGGTTAGTCCTTCTCAGCAGCCTCGCGAAGCTGGAGCTGCCGCCCAGTGTCAAGTTTAAGGTATGGCGGGGGGCGGGGGGCGGCAGGTCAGGCAGACAGGAACTAGTAGGACATATCATCCCTCAGTCTTTGCTATGACGATCTTTTTGATGTCCAGGGAATTGTGGGTTCGAGTGGTCCTGAGTAGGGTTTGGGTAAGAGCATGAGGATGAGGGAAGAACTGGGCAACAAGAAGGCACGCACAGAAACGGAGACGGACAAGAAGATAAGAGAGACAGAGGGTAGAGAGAGAGGGGGGACAGAGGCAGAGACCGAGAGATAACGGGAGAGAGACGGAGAGACATTGGGAAAAACAGAGACATACGCAACAAGTAGGCACACACAGAGACGGAGACAGACAAAAAGACAAGAGAGCGGCAGAGGGTAGAGGGGTAGAGAGAGGGGGGGACAGAGACAGAGGCAGAGACAGAGACTTCGGGAAAAAAAGAGAGGGAGAGAGACGGAGAAAGAGAGAGATGACAATAGTTTGACGGAGAGCCAGAAACACGACATCAGTTGGAGAGAAAGAGAGCCCCCAAGAACGCCCACCTTCGTTTCCTTCTGAGAACACGCGAAATCCTCGTCTCTGTTTCCTTCCAATCCCGCGTGCGGTGCACGCTCAATTTGTGGCCACATTCTACCTACCCAACTATCGAAGGCCGACTTCGTGCTACCTGTGGTGGAGAGCATCGGCTATCTGCTTCCGTTCGTGGCCCAAAGCCTCTTCTCGGTGGCACATATGCCAGATGTGGTGAGCTGCCGAATGCCTCCGTATATACATACTAGTGGAAGTCCGCGAGTTTTGCGACATGGCGCATATCCCAGAAGTGGTGAGCTTGCCGAAGACCTCCGTATTTGCTATTAAGTTGAACTTCGCGCGAGTTTTGCGATACGTGAGGGGGTAAACATGAGTTATTCTCAATTCCTGCGGCTGCTGTGTCTGAGGCCATCGAGGTCGATGCGAGAGTCATCTTGCGCTGAATTTGTGTGTGCTGCCACACTACTCCATGCGTATTGGGGTCAGGTTCTAGAGAGAGAGAAGACCGGTTTGAAGCTGAACACGTGTGCCGAGTGTTCTTTTTGTCCTCACATAGTGTTGCTGACTCCCGAGTCTCACGCGGTGTCCTCAGTTGGGCATAGGGGTTGCGAAAATCAAGCACCATGTCTTGAATCGCACCTTTGCCAATCAATTTTTGAATCTTTTATGAATCCCGACCTCGTTGCCGCACCGCGGGATTTCTTGGACTGTGTGTGCCTATTTACAGGTAGAAAAGGACGAACCGCTGTGGGCGAAACACTTGGTTCTAAAGGAGGCGAGCTGGGTGGACCACTGGTCAGTCATGGCAAGAACAAAGATCGCGCTCGATTTCGACACAACCGATGAGGTGAGTTTTTTTTTTTTTGCGTGGAAGTTACGTTTATGGGAGCCAGTCCAAATAACGCGAGATTTCTTGTCTTTCTTTCTTGTTTCGTCTAGCCTTTTGTCCTAGTTGCGCCAGCCTACATGCTTCGGTATAATAGGACGTGCATATTTAACGACCTGAAATACTTGACGCGCCAGTACAAACTATAAATCGTTTTGAGTTACTCTCGCTCTCGTGTGTTGTGGGGCCACCGCTGCTGTTGTGTTTTGAGAGGGAGGGAGACCTCTGCTTCTTTTGCGGCATGGCACGGCAAGAGGGTGCTGTACTCTTCTCGCATTAAGAACAGAAGGCAAAGCACCGCTGGAGGGGCCTCAGGGAGAGGAGCCCTTCTGTGTGACTGGCCACGGGTTGGAGTAAGAAGCAGATATGCCGTGAGCACTGATTAGAAGTGAAGACGAAAAAAAAAAAATGTGTGTGTTGCGCGGGTGCTGTGGTCGTGATTGGCGATGCAAACAGCGCTGGGCTTCGACACCACGAGTCACGCAAGGAAAAACGATTGGAAGTGCCAGGTGCCGATTTTCATTTCGCGTCCTGCCTTTCGTCCGGCAATTTGATTGCCTCGTTTGTTGCTCCAGCTCGAGAACATCAAGACCGGTGCTCTTGTCCTGTTCGGCGAGAACGATACCTTCACCGCGACGGGCGCACAGCAGCTCATGGACGGCATCGAAGGCTCCCGAAAAGTGGTTAGTGATATGAAGTGTTTGGGCGTGTACAGTAGGGTTGCCTTCTTCTTTTCGGCGCCTGGTCAAAAGCTGACGACAGTTTCTCATTTTTGTTCCAGTGTTGCTTTGGCGTTATATTCTCTAGTTTTTTTTGTCCCCCTCCCCCCCGGTGTTTGCCACGGGGGTTGGGTTTTCGTCGCTTGGCAACGACGTTGTAAAACAAGCCGATTCACTTCGTGAGCTCGGCAACCAGGTTACCGTTTTTTTTTTTTTACCTCTTGGGCGGTAACCATGATGGTGGTCGAGTAGATCATGTTGTGCGGGGTCGAGAACCCTCATTCCGCGCAAAGGGAACAATCGCACCACGTTGTGTTAAAATGGTTAAGCAACCCTCGAGGCAGTTACAGTGCGTTCAACTGTCCCTGGAAGTGAAAGCACCAGAAAATAAATTAAGTCATACGCAGCTGTCATCCGTACGCAAGGAAAGTAGCACAAGATGCCGAACACCCTTAGCAGGATGAAGCTCACCCTTCGTGCGACTCGCCGAATACCTCACGGCGCTTCGCGCTTGGTGATGTGAGAGCCTGGTCCGGTGAGAACCCGGCGTGCTCCGTCCCGGCTTTGTAGGGATGCGAGGTCAATGGTCTAACGACTACGGTATGCACGACTATGAGTACCCCCCTCCCCCCCGATCAGACAATCATGTGATACTTGATGGGGTTGTGGGCCCTTTTTGCGATACCCTGATGTGACTCGTCGAGGACGGCGCGAAACTGTACTTGCTTCTCCCCCTTCGCCGTTGTGGCGTAGGACGGAACAACGACCCGCACCAGTGTTTTATTTTGTTTTGCGGTAGTTCGTTCTTTGGTTCGTTTTGCCGACCGCCGCGCTTCGTGCCTACCTCAGGGGCTCCCTGGAGGACACCTGTGCCACATCACCAGCCCCAAGGCCTTCTCGGAAGCGGTCACGGACTACCTGCTAGTGTCGTCGTCGTGAAGGGCAGGCGTGTGAAAGAAGACAAGAACAAACTCCTGATGTTTTCGTACGAAACCCATGCGGAAGGACGAAAGGGGCCTCCATCTTCGCTAGTTTTTTGGAAACCATGACGGATGTTTGTGTTGTGTCGGGAAGGGGGGGGGGGGGTGGGGACAATGGTTATCTTCTGCGTGTCCCCTGAATCTGCACGTTGCGGTACTTCGAAATGCGGGAGAGGTCGAGCTTTCTCGCGGGCGGGGGACATGCTAAAGATCGCTGGAAGACACCTCGGCTGCTAAATACCATCAGCAAAGTAGCGCACGAGGTCGGGCTAAAGTCGTTGGAAAGTTTTTCCACGTATTTTACGTTGGTACCGCCGAAGGTGCCCCACTTGCTGCCTTGGACAACGACAGGTGGTTGGTGGTCGGGCACACGTCTTGAGGGAACAAACCCCAGCTACTCCACAGATGCCCAATGCTGACCAGCACGTGCATGGCAGAGGGACGGATGAAGGCGGGCAGCGAGCCTCTTCAAGCTAGCTTTGTCGGTCGTTCGTGGTGTATGTCTCTGACGTTGACCGGTTCCCAAGTGACTTGCTGAAATTCTTGTTGTACATAGCGTCAAACGTAGGCACCGGGGAGTAGGAGAACGCCTCTCATCCGTGACGGTTTTCCAAGTCAGGGCAGAACAGGGTGGTTGGTTTTAGTGGTGCTTGGCTTTGCCGAAGGGGACGGTCCAGAGTTCGAACTCATGGAGGCAGCGTTGTCCTCCTATTTTGACACTGGAAGGAGCAGTCAGTGTCGACAGATGGTTTCCCGCTGTGTGCCTCCGGTCGCTTGTATCTTGGCCGCGGGGTCGGTCGGGGCACGTTGCTTTTTTTTTTGCGAGAAAAGTCTTGAGGGAACGGCCGCATGACCAAGACACGCATGGTAGTGCATTTCTTTTTTTGTTTTTGTGCGTCTTGTTGGGTAGGAAAAGCGAGGACGGAAGAGGCTCCTGACTTGGCGCATGTATGGCACCCAAGTCTCTTGGCCACGTGCTGGGCTGGGGTGAGTGCTGCCTTGTGCATAAGATAGTTTTACCCCTGGGGCTCGCTAGTTCGTTCTTCTTTCGTGTCGCGTATTGAGCTCCTCTTGAGTTGTTTTTTTTTTTTTTTTCCTGGTTGTGGTCTCGTTGATCCCCCGCAGTGTTTTCCCCTACCTCACGGTTTTGCCCTCTCGGTCTACGGAGAAGGAGTCATGGTACGCATAGCAGTCTTTTGCCTCTTGGTCCACGGAAAGTAAGGATGGTACGGGATTACCGTCTTTACCCTCCTTGGTTTACGAAGCAGAGGTCATGGTGGGGCCACCCATACAAGTAGGACCCTAGTTTTGCGTGTGGAGTTGTTATTTCGTGCAGTTTTGCAGACAGACGTCCGTTCGTGGGAAGGCCTGGCCTTCCTGTCTTTCTTCTGCCCTTTTTCGGCCCCCGCAAGGGTGAGAATGAAATAGTCGTTTTCAACAGAACGTGTCTGGTGCTGTGTTCCCCTCAAAAGCCAACATCAACGCTGTTGTTCGAGTTGGCTGGCCTGTGGCATTGGTGTCGCCTATTGCCGACACGGCAGATTGCAAATACTCCCGTCGTGGAAGTAGCGTGCTCGCCACTGCTCCGTTTACTGTGGCACGCAACCCCAGAAGTTGCGCCTTCCTTGGCGGAGAGGCAGGAGCGAGTAGAGAGAGGCGGGTGAGAGGATGGCAGGGGGCACTGCTGTGCTTGCTTGTCTGCATTTTTTGCCGGTGTGGTTTCGTTGTGGCTGGGGTTGCTTGTCTTGTGTGTGTGTGTGTGTGTGTGTGTGTGTTGTGCGTCGGTCATGTGTACGATACCGTTTTTTTGTTGTGGGTGAGAATTGGGAGCTTTTCCCGCGATATATATTTGTGTTTGGTTTTGTGGCAATCCATGCACACCGGCTCCCCGCACTCTCTTTTGCGTTGCTAAAAAGAAACTCAACAAGCGAAAAGTACGAGGGCATCAATTCGCACCCATGTTTAACGGCCACGACCAACGGTCTCGCGTGATGTTTTTGCTGATACTGCTCAGTCATGCCACCGAAAATCAATCCTGTTGTGTATGAGACGGTGGTCTCCAGGTTCGCGTGTGAGCAAGATCCCTTTGGGATTTGTGGTGTGGATACACACCGGTTCAACCTCTGGTGGAGAGGCTGACGAGTACGGATAGTGTTGAGTTGAGTGAGTTGTGTCAGGTGGGAGCAACCTTGTGTTGAAGCAAGGTTCAGCATCCAACCTGCAATGACTATCTGTGGTAACACCCCGAAGGTAGATCTCCGACAGGTCATCTGACGTCACATTCTACAACAGTCTGAGGTGGCATTCACATGCGGCTTATCATCATTTCTACACTTTGTAATCGCCTCAATATTGTTGGACGTGCGGCTAACTTTCCAACCCGTGAGGTTCATCTTTCGTTCCACAAATTTAGACCGGCAGAACGCGATTTCCACAACACGACGGGATAGACACAACCAAGCGAAAAAAAAGAGAGAGAAGTGCATTTTTCATCATCCAGAAAATTCACAAAAATCTCAAAAAAGAGGGAGAAAACAGACGAAAACCAAACAGTGGTCGGTCACACGAGAAGAATGTCCAAGCCTCATTTAATAACCTTGAACCAATAACTGCCAAAGGGGACCCGCCCACACGTCGAAACATCCACAAACAAGCGTCTTCCAAAATCTCCCGAATCTCCCAAATATTCGAAACAAGACCGGAAATCAAATCAAATCTGCTGCGCGGTACCTATTCTCTATCCGAAACACACAACACAACTAACCCCGGCCAAGACAAGTCGTCAAGGAATTTCGCGGCGTCACGGCAACAACCGGTCTGTTCGGTTACGGGAGAAACGCCGCGGGTTACAAAAGAAACTCCTTGCAGCAGAAAGGAAGGATGGTGCACACGGCGAACAACCACCCGTAGCCCCCAAGACTTGACCTCAACGTGCCTAGCCACCCCCATCACGGAACCATCAAGGGCACTTGAGTGCGAACGTCATATCTTCCTCAAATTGACACACCAAACGTGCCTAAAAGCATGCACGAATGTACAGGCATGACACCTACGTACGGTTGTCCATGACTTTGAGCCGAATGTGCCTCGAAACGTGCCAGCTGGGATTGTCGGACGCATACGTACGCGTACGCGCGACACACACCGCCTGACTCAAACCTACCGCGTCGCACCTTGGAGGGTCACGTACACCCACCCATCATTTCAAATATTTACCTCAGCGTGCAAACTAAACTCCCCAATGGATACATGCAAACCTTCTCCTCCACGCTGCACCTCAATCTGCCCCCAACCCTTCCGCCATAGGTACTGACTTGTATCTTGGTTTCGCCAGGAAGTTCCTGTTTATCCCTAACCCCGCCATATCAGGCAAGTGAGGTTGCTCAAGGGCGAGACTTGAAAGCTTAAGTCCGAGAAAATGTCGGCAGTATGAGGACAGAAAACCGTTCTCTGCAATGTACGTTCTGCCAAGCTGAACCCCAGGTTAAAACAGAAAAAGAGTAAATATTTTCTGCGATGAAAACACCACTCGCTCCGAGCGGCTGATCAATCATTCTCAACATTCTCCGTATCCAAGCCTTCAAAAGGGGCGTGCTCCAGTCGTAATCATGCCAAGGTAAAGGTTTTTGTCTCCTCCTACTCTCCGGATAAACTCTCCGCATCTTTCACCCAAAAACCATCAAGGTGACCAAACATTCGTCTATCTCATATCTCTCTTTCTCACATTGCACAACCTACGCAGATGCGTGCCTGCAAACCCACGATGCAGAAATCGATCACCCGCGCATCATCGGCAATGCGCCGGCCTAACCAATACTACCTTCAAGAGGCGGAGAAATGTCACCCCCGATTGCTCCACGACAAATGGAGTGTGTGTGGAAAGAGCCCGATGCGTGTACGGCAAGCTCTCGACGAGATGTTTCCAAAACGACAAAGTTGGAACAAGCTTGGTTCTGGAGCAATCGAGCTTCGAAAATCGGTCAAGGGGAGGGGGTGCGATCTCTCTGCCGCATACGGCATATTCCCGCTACACAGCAGTCCTAGCACCGAAAAAGCTCGTGCATCGTCATCATCTCCACCCGTCAATTCAGACAAGTTCTTTTGCGAAAAAAGAAAAATCAGCCAAGACCAACGACACCATGCGACAAAGAGACAAAAAGGAGAGCAAAGCTCGAAATTACCATGATCAGTCTAAATTCGATTAGCAAAAAAAGCGACAAATTTACAGGAGGGCTATGCATACGATTACCACAAACGACCAAGTGCAAGCCAACGAACACACGCCCGGACAACGACTGGGGGTGCATGTATCGTATGCGACCAAAAGACGGAGAACGAGGGCCAGTCCGCGCACCACCGCGGGGGCACACGTGTGGTGTGGTAGTCAACACGTAAAGCACAACGAAAAGGCGGGACGGTCAGTAGCAGCAGCGGCGGCACCAACGGCATCCGCAGAGGCAGCATCGGCAGCAGCAGCGCGCCCGGGGGAGGGTCCTCGCCATCGCTCACATGAGCCCTATTGATGGTGTCCGCGTCCATCGTCGAGCTTTCACTAGAGGCAACCGGTGGCCGAACTTCCTTCCGCTGCCCTGATTCGGCTGTTTCTCCTCGGGCGTACGCAACAAGCTCTCAACCCCTCACCGCCATCGAACCCCGGGACTGCCGCCAATCGCTGCGTGCCTGATGACCCCCCCCCCTCCCCCCCCCGGCCCAACGATATGCTCAAGAATCCCCCCTCC